GGGTTCTCAAATCCATCGAAGTAGCGAACTCTCCATGAATCTAAAAGCTCAAAGTCCTCAATTGAGGCTTACTCAGAAGGCCTTCGCCTCTGTCAATGCCATTGTCTTCCAATTAAGACATTCGATGCCTGTTCGAACCCTATAGTACCACGCTCTCGCTATTCATGAAAGTCAGAGTCCTCAAGTCCTAAACTCCGAAGCCAGTGTTGAAATCAGTCTAACTCTCAAATCATCCAATATTTAAATCTCAGAAAGCCATAAACTCTGTAAGTTCTCCTAAGTCAACGTTCTGCGATCAGTCGAGATCTGAAAATATAATACTTCGTCTTGTATTCGGAAATTTAAATGCAGAAAAAGAATATATTTTATCGAAGAAAATAAGCTCCCTATATTATAGTTCTTTTCATAAATTTTAATGAAGACAAATATATTATGAAACAAAATGAACATAAAAATCTCTACTTTGACATATTTAGAACTATTTCTATTTCAAAATAAAAATAAGATAAAAATTGTTAATTTATGTGTAATCTTTGAGGTGCCCTCTGAGATCATAAAATAAATTCAATCTTAATGTATGCATATTAAAATATTTTAAAAATGTGTTTCAATAGACAACCCTAAATAAAAACTTGTTTTTTAACCGTAAGGAACGAAGATGAAGGAATAACTTAGGCGGGCACTTTAAACAGTTCACTTTTAAAATCAGTAACTATATCGTCATTCGTATTCATCTATAATAATAAAAGGCACAATCCTTAGTAATATTCATGTACTGAGTGCACGCATCTTAGTTTGGATAGGAATATCAGAGTACTTGAAGAACTACCTTTATTTCTTCTTGTCGAGAATCGAACTCAAAAACCTTTTATGTTTTGGTACATTTGACAGGCATGAATCTTATTTGGTAAATAAAAATATGTTAAAAGAAAATAAGAGATTATCATAAATGATTGAAATTTCATTGATTAATTTGCTGGTGAAAGAAAAGTATTTTTGACTTGTTTGCGAAAGCATAGAGACATTTTGGAGAAGTTGAATAAATTATACAGTTAAATAAGAATATACATGAAAAGGATTAAAACAAAATACGCCAATTTTTTTCATAAATAGATGTTATTTTACTCTTTCTAGGAGCTCAATGTGAATTATCTGAGTTAAGAAAACTAAATATTTCAAACTATATGACAACAAACAGCCACTCATCTTCAGATCACAATTCATTTTACAACAGTTGAAGTAAACAATACCTGACCGCATATGCATGATAACATATCTCTTTATTAGAGAGGCACTTGCCTTTATTTTTATTCGATATTAAAAAATAAGCATACGAAGAAAGAACATCCCATGTCACTCAAACTGTTTCAAAACCGACGATTAACCGCGGTGCTTAAGAAAACCAACGGTTCTAATCAGTTTCTCTTCGTTTATCAGTTTGTTTATAATTTTTTTGCTAAATTTACGTTTTTAATCTGGAAAAAGTCGAATACGACTCAACAAAGTGTATATATTGATACCAGAGTATATTACGTCAGATGGTACCATTAATTTTCGCATTGGTTAAGTGATCTACTCATGACTATTTTTATGGTACCATCTTTAATAAAATCTCAAACTCGAAAACCAAGTGAATTCAGATGATGTGGCTGGTACCAGCGACTTCCGCGCGTTCGTATATATGAAGGACTGCGATTCCGATCAAAATCTCACTATTTTGTGAGAGTTTAAAAATAATTATTCACTGCAATACCAAAAAATCTAAGCTGGAGAACCGTAGTTAACCGGATGGTTAACCGACGGTTTTGCAGCGGTTTG